GATTCGTATGAACATGTATTTATTCATGTTTATTCAAAGTATTTAAGTTTGCATTTATGTTGAGTATTGTTCGGAAGTCCGTAAAATCATAGAATCGGATATCCCTGGACTCGTAATGCTAGTGACTTCTTATTTTAAGTGCCAATAACCACAATAAAGGATTCTGTTAGGGCAATGAGTAATCGATTGTCGTTTCTTTTAATTATTTTATTGTAATTAATTATTATTTATATAACTGATTCATAGATAAGATCCTTTAGTAGAACAAAACCATTATTTTACGTTATTTTTTAAATTAAATCAGATGTTTAATTATTAACTCTTTTCACCCCAGAATGACTGAACGAAATTTGGCGCAGAGATAGATTACAGCCTTGAATCACATAATAAAAAAAAATATCCCAAAAAAATTTAACAAACATAAACATTAACACAAGTAAAACTAAGGAAATTAGTAAATTTGTAGGTAAACCTAATGACAACATTGAACAGTAAAATCCTTCACCTTCTTTGTGTTATCACACTTATCAGTTATCAATACGTACACTATAAATCAGTATCTTAATTTTGTTTTGAGTGTTAAAATATTCAATTATTAAAATTTTACTACGTGTTATTACAATTAATGATTTCTTAAATAATACATTAAATGCTAAACAGTAAGTGACATTTCTAATCAGAGGAGGAACATATATGTATTCTATTCTATTTTCTATTTCTATTTTAAAAAAGACAACTCCCGCATTAGGAATAAATCCTGTGTCGCGGGGGACTTTACAAACATACATGAAACGGACACAAAGAACACCCAGACTCAGAACAACAATTTGTGGATCACACAAAGTGTCGTCCCATGTGGGGTTTGAACCCACAACACTCGGCGTAGTAGGAAGCGGCGTGGCGACCGCTTAAACCACTACGCCATCCGTGCAGTCTATGAGTACGTAATATGGCTGCTCTCTTTAAACTACTGCACTGTCACGCCATCTCTTATTCCAGTTTTGCAGTATACCTTTTCTTTTTTGTGTGTGGAAATCCTCTCGGGACGAACGAATTGAACCGACAAAAACCACACGGTGTACCATACATGCGCCTTAAATTGGAGGGATCCGTTAACTGCTATTATTGAGACATACGGACCCCTTCTAGCGCCTGCCCGCAAAAATGGAAGCATTACCTTCGGGTAAACCGTGTGGTGACGGATTAAGAATACAAATTGTCACCACCCCAATTCATCCCGTGGGTGTCGTAAGAGCCGACTAAGGAAGCAAACTAAGCAGGACAACAGCACTGCAAAGAGAAGGAAAACTTGAAACAAACCCTGTACCAACCCGTCTGGCCAGCGTGGTATAGTAGGCCAAAACCTCCTTTCTAAGGAGAGGCCTATGTCCAGCAGTGGACTAGTATAGGTTGTTGATGAAACCCTTGCTCCATCTGCTTTCTTTATCGTAATTTACCTTTTTGGGTCTCCTGATAATGATTACAACTCTAAGGAAAGTTGACTTCAGGCAGGCGAATGGCCAAAAAAAGGCGACTAATATCTAATACTAACACTGAAAAAGTTTCAGTGTTACGCATTACCGAATCCGAATAGAATTGAAGGGAAAATAATAATAATAATAACCTCACACATTACACACACGACTGCTAATAAAATATTTCTAAATACATACATATTATAGACAAATTACACCCACACACAGAACAAACGATCGTGCTCATCACACAAATATCGGAGGAGAAATCGAAATGGGTTCGATTCCCATTTCGATTTCTCCTCCGATATTTGTGTTCCTCCCACGACCTCCGATTTAGCAGTCAGGGTCACTAACCACTAGGCCAACAGGCCAGAATATATCATAAATACATTTCAAAACACATTCTTAAATATAGAAGATACCAATTTGTTTCTAAATGATTTCGAACACATCTGTCTAGTACATTTTAAATATTTATTCTTGTAACAGATTATATATACAACATGAAACTCACTTTCATGGCTTGAAATCAAAATATTATAACGAGTTAACTTAAATCTCTTAAAGAATGTTTGAGTGACGCCTTTTGACATACTCGTACATATGATTATCATATGTTTAAAATAATCTCAAGAATTTGGACAATTTAATAAACAAACAGCACAAAACTCAAAAGTCGATATATCGCCTAACGTCGTACATATAATTATGTTACTTGCTGTCGTTGGAATAAAGTGTAAAACTCAATGTTAGGAGTGAATATATTTGTGAAATACTAATTAACTAAGCGAACTCGACAAGGCTCATAATAAAAGAGAATCGAAATTTCGAAGTTTTTGTAGCGTTTACTATGTGTTGACATTTTTGGATTCTATAATATGCTTTGAAGATATTCTTGATCTAGAAGTTGTAATTACAGTACCCATAAATACACATATAGCTCTTACATAATCAAAAGACCTAACTACTTTATATAATACCTAAAATAACATTTAAATACAGTAAAAACGTTATTTTCATGCAACACTCTCTAATCGTTACAGAAGTAACTCTGTGTAAGTAATCATAATAATCTAAAATATCTCTCACACAGCCGTATGCCTGACTCTCCCCCAAACTAAGGCCTATATTGTATAGGCCTGATTCTCCCCCAAACTAAGGCCTATATTGTATTGGCCTATATTGCATTGGGTAACAAGATTCCTGATAAACATAGATAGATAACTTGGACTTATATGATAATACAAGATAAATTATACATAGATAAATTACACCTAAATACAGATCAAATGATCACCACACAATTATTCGTCCTGGTTGGGAATCCAACCCATTGCCAGGCCAATGGGACCGTTAAACACAAAAACTATGGCAGATTATTTGAATTCGTAATAAAAAAAGATTTTGAATTCTTATAAAACGATTAGCTATAGATACATCAGTAATATTAATAACTTCAATCATTTAAAATATTCGTGTTGTCCTGACATCATCGCTCATCTTTACACGTTATAGACTGACTTATGTATCCGTTTATAAATCATATTTATTAAAACAAGATTTGGACTCTAATTTTTTTGACATTTAAAAGTAAGATTTTGGGCCATCACTAATGTTTGAACCATAAAAATATATGAATCATATTAAACAATTAACTAACTGACTGACAAACAAAATTTCTTAAAATATAGCTACGAGTAGAAACGTTTTTAAATAAAGACGTCTTTCTACCAAAAATACTTGAAACACAATTGTTTAGAAGATGTAATATCACAGTTACACAATCAGATATCCAGTTTAACTTATAACATCCAATCCTTTTTGATCAGAAGGTTAAAGAAACTGCTAGATTTTTCGATAGAGATAGTTTAAAAATCAAACACTTTCTAAAACCCATTTAAAAAGAAATTACACGTGCAAAACGGAAAACAGAAATAAATTTTCTCATATTAAGTACGTGAATTTTACGTACTTTATACTATTACGTACGTTAATTATTTGAAAACAACGTCCATTCGTGGGAATAATTTAAATATCAAACAATAGTTGTGCATCACAAAAAGTAGAAAAAGGAAAAAGACTGATGATTACCCTGACAGACCGGTCTTAAGGTACTTTATTCAACCATTTTTGTACTGAAGCAAATTGCTGCGCAGTTGAAGGAGGGCTCGTTAGGTAGGTAGGCTCGGAGGGTAGGATGGACTCGATACTTAGAGTGAGTTCTTGTGTGTGATCATTGTGTTTATTTATAATATCTGTCAGTGTCAATGATCTGTCAGAGTGAAACTGACCCAGTCCAGAGATAAAAAAGATAAGTATTTAAAAATGAACCTAATGATCGATCCAATCATTCTTATTAATTAAAACTAAACTGGTACCAAACTAAATTGTATTCTTACAAATTATCGGTTTCCTATTGGTCCGACGGGTGCGGCACAGATAAAAAATAAAAAGCAATAACTTTTATTGATTAATGTTATTTTCAAATGATTCTCTTTTGTGTCTTTGATAAGGCCTTCTTTTGTTTATGATAAACGTAAATACGGATTCTAAACTTAATTTTTGATTTCTATAATATAATATTTTACTTCATTTTATTATTTAAAAGAGGAGAAGTGGATATACTAATTTTGAAAAAAACAAAATTGAGATAATCAACTTGTAAAATATATTTGCCATATGTTACGTGTTTTATTTCCTAGTATGTGTAGGTAAGTTATGAACTTCGAAAGTGGAATTATCGTATTGACATAATCTTAAAAAACAATGCAAAACTATTGACGCCTTTTTTCTATCCCTTAAAGAACGCCTTAAAAAAGCAATTAATTTTAAGATATAATTTTGCATTTTGCATAATCAAACCATCTTACAGACTAGCTGACCCGCGCAACTTCGTCTGCGTCTCTCATAGTAATAAATTTTCTCCGTTTTTGAAACATTCTTCATTGGTGCTCCGCTCCTATCGGTCTTAGCGTGATGATATATAGCCTATAGCCTTCTTCGATAAATGGGCTATCTAACACTGAAAGAATTTTTCAAATCGGACCAGTAGTTCCTGAGATTAGCGCGTTCAAACAAACAAACAAACAGCTCTTCAGCTTTATAATATTAGTATAGATAACTTAAAAAAAATACTTATCACACACGAATGTGAGTTAGATAATGTGGAAATTGACGTCTTCTATACATAAATATACACAGCTTTAATGTTTAACAATATGGTTGACGATAGACGACGATAGCGTCAGATGCTTTGACGCGCAATATGGATGACCTAAGCATACGAAAACACGTGTCTTACTTGCGTCTGCAAAGCTTATCTAGTCTTGTCCGTTATTGGACGTAACAAAATACTGTTATACAGAACTATTCTAACATAATAAATGAGAATCACCAGTAGTATGAGTTTAGATTTTTTTGCCATTTCAAAATCTACTCCCAAATTCAAAGTTTTCTAAAGTACACGATATCCCAATAGTAAGGTAATAACACCTATTATATTGTGTGTCTCTTTGTCCTCAGATGCCACAAACAGTGCCAAGATCCGGGTGCAGCCCGCCATCGACATCTCAGGGTGAGCGAGCGGTTCCCGCCTCTCCTGCAGATTTACAACATCTCCTCCGTCTACTCGGCGCTGCATCCCCTCCAGAACCGATGCTTCACTCCCCACCAAACCCACACAACAAACCTCCTCCACCTTATCCTGAAGACAATTCAAACACAGTGCTACTAGATCGTTTATACGACTTTGAAGGCTATCTTACACCTTCACCTTCATCAGACGAAGGTACCATTCCCACAGTGGCTCTCCAACCTGCCTCACCATATAGTTCACTTCAACCTTCCTCTCCATACAGCTCCCTCCAACCCTCATCTCCTTATAACTCCCTCCAACCCTCATCTCCTTATAGCTCCCTTCAGTATAACTCACCACAAGTATACATTAAAGAAGAACCAAACCGATTAACGGTCCCGGAATTTGCATCACCATATCCTTTATCACCATCTGGATCTTGTGTGTCCTACGGAAGCCAGAACCAATACTCATCACCAGTCCCACAACACGACGAATACATAGACATTGAAGAACTCTTAAAGGAAAATCAGATACTTCAAGATAGTATTCAGCATAATTACATCACACCTAAAATTGAAGTTGAAGAGCGCAGAGATCACATTCTACTAAGATCAGCATTAGAAGATACTACATTCCAGAAAAGATTAAATCTTAGACCTATTCCATTAGAGTTAGGTACTGTCAAAATGGAAGAAAGTAGCGGAGGTGACGATGCTCTTGTAGCTCCTGACATCGACCATGTTCTCTCAATGGCTATTGAGCAGACCAAAAGAGACGTGGACAACACATGCACTGTTCTTGGAATCTCACCAGGTGAGTCTAAAACGTCAATATCTTTACTCATTGTACATACCTTTGACATATAACGTGTGAATATTCTGATAGATCAGCATGTATGATATACAATGGTATGTCCTGAGAACATTGTACGCGTGTGTCTTACATTTATTACTATCAATATTCCAATTACTAGTGACGTCACTCAAATCTTGACTAGAGAAAAAAAAAACGTTTCCCTATGAACAGAACATGTTGGCAACTGAATAGAATAGCGCCATTACAAACATTAATAATTTCGGAGAAGCAGATGTAGAGAATTACGTAAGCCATTTAAACATATTGGCGATGATCTTGTCTCATCTTCAAGACGAATCTGTTCTAATAGGTATCGATTGAAACCAATATTTATCGATTTTAGGGATTATTAATGAGTTATCGATTAACGTTCTCTCTTTCGAAGTCTCAAGTTTTTGATGTTTGTAACACTAGATGATACTATTTTATTTCTTGCAGACCCTATGTTGTGGAGTACCGGGGATGTCAAAGCATGGGTAATGTTCACATTGCAACATTACAACCTTCCGATGGTGCCCATGGAAAACTTCACAATGGAGGGCGCCGCTCTAGTAGCACTTACGGAGGACGAATTTAACCAGAGAGCACCACAGGTACGAATATTTATTAATAAGATTTAAAGATTGGTAAATCAAATACTTTTTTCATTTATTTATATGACCCTGTGATTCGGTAGACTAAAGTTCATATTGATTCAGATTCTTTTAATAATATATTATATTACTTGTATAATTTTTACTTTGATTGTTTAATTTGTACCAATAGATGAGAAATTTACCTAGGTTATCAATCATCAATAGCCTTTACTAGTCCACTGCTGGACATAGGCCTCTCCTCAGAAACGAGCTTTTGGCCTACTAAACCATGCTGGCCAGACGGGTTGGTATAGGGTTTGTTTAAAGTTTTCCTTCTCTTTGCAGTGTGGTTGTTCTGCGTAGTTTACTCCCTTATTCGCTACTTACGTATTTACGACACTGTGTATTCTTAATCCGTCACCACACGGATGAGAAATTTAGCTAGGCGTTGTCATTATTTTATTGTGTAAATTTCTGCAACCACGTGTCAAGTGGGGTCAATGTATACAGAGTTATCTTCAGGTTTATCATTGCCATAAAAAAATAAACTAAAACTTGATTAGTGTTTGTAACACAAACACTAATCAATTTTTATTAATTAGGATGTTCGTTCAATGGGATTATTCTAATTAGAAACAACGATGATTGCTTGAATGACTAATTTTGTTTTTTTTTTCTACTATGATTACATCATTTTTAAGTCGAACGATTTTTGACTAGTTAGTTAACTGTTGAGATGATTCCATATCTAATTATGCGATATTTGAGTTCTCGAATAGGATTGTTTTGAAGTTTGGACAGTTTGGTCTAATTAATTTTTATAAATTTATTAACATTAGTTTGCTGATATCATTGCATGCTTCACAAGACAAATATTTATCACTTTTCAGCGTAAATCAATAACCAAATTAAAAAATATATAAAATCGAATTCAATGCGCTTAAATCATGATAAATTATAATAAATTGGTGTCTTTATCCTTTAATTTTCTACCCTAAGGTGGCAGATCTTTTCTTTAAATAAAAGCTTAAAATGAAACGACAAAGATATGGCGTGATCTACACACGAAATTAGCATCATCTTCTCAGCCGAAAGAAGTCTACTGCTGGACATAGGTCTCCTCCAAGGTTCGCCATGGTGGAAGTTTCGAAATAGCACATCAATTGAGAAATATTCTACTCGAAAAGTAAATTACTCGTATTATTTAATATCCAATCACAATGAACAACAATTTTAATATTCAATAACTTAACAATGTTGCAACATCGCTTACACTACCAAACATTGTTATCAACGCAGTGATAAGAATAGGTATTGTTTAAAATAACGATGACGAATTCAGTTTTTTTACACCTATTCATGATGAATTTGTAATAAAATTGATATGAAAATTAAATCTGAAATAAACATAGTTTGTTGTTTCGGGGTGGTCAAATACAATCTGAGTATTATTACATACATATAACAGTGCTTATAGAAACTTTTTATATACAAATAAACATAGATAAATCAATTTACTCGTACTTATAAATCTTCGTATTCCTATTGGTAGCAGGTTGTCCGCGTGGTGACGGATTAAGAATACGGAGTGTCACCACCCCTATTCATTTCGTGGGTTTCGTACGAGCCTACTAAGGGAACTAACTACGCAGGACAATAGCACTCCAAAGAGAAGGAAAACTTGAAATAAACCCTATACTAACCCGTCAGGCCAGCGTGGTATAGTAGGCCAAAACCGCTTTACTAAAGAGAGGCCTATGTTCAGTAGTCGACTATTAAAGGCTGTTGATGATGATGATAATGATGATTGGTAGCAAACTACCACATCGTAAATTAGATCAACATAAATTTGTGCATAAATATTTCTTAGGAGGAAAAGCCACCCTAAGCTTTTGCCGTCAAAAAAGGTCTGTTCTCAAAGTACAAACATTACTTTTATTGGAGCGAAAGCTCAGAAAAAAAGTTAGTTCTATATAAATATCAATATTTATTTGTGCGTGTAAAACACATGGGGGGGGCCCCATAAAACTGACCTGTTAGTCTATTATTTACTGATATTGAGTGCTAAGCCAAAGGTCGTGGGTTCGATTACCACTCAGGACAAATATTGTGTGATGAGCCCGATCATTTGTTTTGTGTCTAAATGTCTTTTATTTATAATATTTACAAATATTTGTGACTGCAATAGGCTTGACAACTATTACGTAAGTGGGATTAATATAACAGTGGGCAAAATGTGGAGCAATATGCCTATGACTTGCCCCTTGACTCTTTGGTGATAAAGACGTGAGTGTATGTATCTATGTTAATAGGCGTTACTCTACGTCTTTTACTTACTAGAGACTTGTAAGGAGATGTTCTTACAACAAAGTCGTTATGAAAATTACCCTCAAACACGACGTAATCCATACCTATGTTATAAACTAGCTGACCCGCGCAACTTCGTCTGCGTCTCTCAATAGTAATAAATTTTCTCCGTTTTTAAAACATTCTTCATTGGTGCTTCGCTCCTATTGGTCTTAGCGTGATGATATATAGCCTTCCTCGATAAATGGGCTATCTAACACTGAAAGAATTTTTCAAATCGGACCAGTAGTTCCTCACGTGAGAGTATAGATATACAAGTGAGTTTTTTTTTTACGCTTTCACGCCTAAACCATTGAACCGATTTAATAAATCTTTCATTAATGGAAAGCTAAATTATCAGCGACTAACATAGGCTAATTTTTACCACGGCTACCGACATTAACGCGGGCTGAGCCGCGGGCAATAGCTAGTGATACATAACCAAGCTTAGTATCCAGGTCAACAACGGTTATGGCACAAGTATATTAATTGCTTTGCATAATATCCTCTCATCAGGATAGTAAGGAAATCCGTTTATACTTCTTGACCCACTGCCTCATTATGCAATATAATTATGACTCTTTTACCTTCTACTTTTGTAACAGTTACGTCAACGGGTTGTTAATAATAATGTAGGTATGTGTTTGAACAGAAGCCACCTATTATGAAAAACTTCCATCACAATATAACCGTTTGTTTTTGTTTGAGGAATATTATTTTTAGGCATTTTCCTGACTCAAATTGCTTTAATTCATTTTTGTTTACGTTGTATGTTTAAATGTTGGTACAAATTCATTACTATATAAACTTTAGTCAGTGATATTCATATGTATTTCGAAAATATATACCATTTTATTCAGGTGTATATTATTGTCATTTTGAAGCCTGACACCGTCCCGATCAACTTTATTCGTTAAAAACCCCCGTCATGTCGTAAGCTAGTCAGGAATCCCCGAAATACCTAAATAAACCTTGTATCTTAGATAAATAAATCCATAGCTATAGGCATTGCATAATAGTGGATTTTGATGTAAATAAAAATAAAAAGTTAGTAATGTATTGAGCACGCCAGTTCCAATGGGCAGGTATCTTTGTTACCGCACGCACTGATGCCTCTACTTTCTCTAGCGATGAAAGTTTCACCACCCTCGGACCCGTCTGCATACAAATTGAATCTGGTTTGTTATTTAGAAGATTCTAACGTTAACAATATATAAATATTCGATACTTCACAAAAGTATGTTCTTACTCTGCCTCAGATACTTAAAGTTGAATTCGATACTGAAAAATACTTATTAATGCACACAAAAATTACAAACGAATCACAATTTTATTAATATTTTAATTTGCTGTCATAGATTTAATAAATTTTATAGAATTAAAAACGTTCTCGTCTGTATTTACACATTTAAATATATACACTTTTCAGTTTACGGCCTCGATAAAAAAGTTGTTTAGTGGTATTCACACAAATTTACCTGGTATTAGGTACGCACAGATATTTATATCTACCTGTTTGTTGTTGTTACAGGCTGGCAGCACTCTTTACGCTCAACTGGAGATCTGGAGAACATCACAAAGATCTGAACATCAGAATATATCTACCTCTCCTATACCTACGCCTGCAGGCTTACCATCAGCTGACGACATGAGCGAAGGTACTTGTTCTGCCTTCACTAAACATATTCACTTCGAAACAATATTACTTATCAATAACCTACTAAATCCCATTGTTAATACACTTGCAAAATAATGAGCTAGACGTCATTTTGATAAACCTTATTAATATGATGTCTCCTAGATTACAGAGACAAAAAATATTTAGTACATATTTTATTACATTTACATAATTACTTACTATTGATCGAATTTATAGGTTCATTGATTTCAAATTTGATCATCATAATTGTTATTATAAGATAACAAAAAAAGCCTCGATAGCAAAGTTACTGATAATAAAAGCTGTAATATATAAGGGAGAACAGGCGTAAAGGCGATAGATGATGTGAAGTGGATAACGCCGTGCGTGGTCGAATGTGGCACGGCGATGCATCGGTCGCATGCATTGTGCATCGACCGTTACCGGCCCACATACAGGCCGTATTAGAGACAAACGAGATAATGATATATGGCTAACGTCCTACTCATTCTATGAGGGAATTGAAAGCCACGATGTATTCGACATAATGGGCACAGGTGTGGCAAGTTTTATTAGTAATAAACGATTAGCAAATTAAGTATAGGATTTACGGCTTTTCCTAAGAACGTATTTTAAGAAAAGTAAATAATCTCTTATTTTACAAGCCTTTTCCCTTTATAGGGATATCTCTCGATAGATTGATTTGTCTCTTTTTTATCCTTAAAAAGATTTTGCCGCAATAAAAAGAGAATTCAGTTCTTTCTTAAAGTCTATTCTTTATTCAAAATCAGCTTTTCCTTACATGTAGTAACTCTAGTTAACTCTCAGTATCAAATATAAATCGCTGTTTATTGTGTCTTCATTGTGAGCGTCAATGAAACGTTCCTTTTCATATCCAATTTTCAGTATTTATTTTTACTACTTTTTTTTTATAAATTAACCAGGGGTATGAGTAGCGAGCTGCCAACTTAACCCTCTCAACCTAAGGTTCTCTATCCCTTGAGACTGTACCAGTATTCCTGTTTTGAAAGTTGTCTTCAGTTGCACCTCAATGCTATCCAGCCCCTTAACAAATAACTATTCTGTCTTACATATATATGTAATGTCTGTATGTACTTAAAATATACAAGTAGTTTAAAACAGTTTGATATTCTAACATGCGTCCCGTTTTATTGAGCTATCGTCATAAACCATCGTCATAAATTATCATAAAATGATTTACTGCAACGTTTCCAGCAGATAACACTGAGATAATTTTAAATGCAATTGCCGAGACACATTGTCGCCCTTGTTGCGCGAACAGTTAGCTCATAAATAGAAAAAGTGTCAGATAGTAGCACAGGAAATAGCGATCGACAATTATCTACAAGTCAGTTGTCAGTCCACACGTTTCTTGACATAAAGATTTATATCAGAAAGGCCCACAGCGTGGGACTAAAGAGGTCAGTTGGACAAACAGTGAATACAAAATTCAATTACATTCTTTAAATGCAGAAGTCGTCTAAATAGGCTTAAATTTTTTTATTATTCAATTGTGAGCATTAAAAGTTTAAAGCTTTCAAAAGAACTTACTGGCCGGTGGACATTAAAATAATATTTTGCCATTTCATCCATACCTGAAGTTATGTACACGAGAGAGTCCCACTATAAATTATTAAAAATGTTTATCGAGACAGTTATTTCAAGTTGATATATATGTTTTAAGTTTACTTTGGATCTTCATATTAGTACATTGAAGAAACTGTACATACTCGAGAGTGTATATAATTCGAATACTTTGAGAATGCGTTAAATTTTGTTACTTAAGTCATTTTATAATCGTTTCATTTTTATCTTTTATGTCGAAATATTAATGAAACACATAGACATAATTTTAGAGTGCGTAGATGAATCAAATTTACACATATGCTTAGGATGTTATAGGAACGTGAAACGAAACGGACGAAAGTGGATAAAAATCATTCTTTATTTAAAACTTAAAAAAAAAATATAAATAAACTTATATATAAATTATGTTATGCCAAAATGTTGTAATTTATCAATAAAAATAAATTTGTTGTTCATAGATCTACGCCCAGATACAGTTAAGCTATCTATCAAATATTTATCATTCTATTGCCGTTCTGTTCATGTTGGCTTCGAACCCTTATACGTCTAGTCTCCTTTTTACGTCGTTTCCCGAAGACCTACTTTGCTCCAACGGACTCACAAGGTCGACGAAGACGTCGAAAACTTGCTTACATAGTGAATATTGACATTTTTACCTTTAAATACAACGTAAAATAATATATGTTTTAATTTAACAAGATCAGTGACAATTTGTCCATCTATTTTAGTTAGTCTTATTTTCTTAGCTATGGTAATTTAAACTTTGTAAACAGTCCAACATGTGTGGAAATTCTTTAATATTGACGTGCACCGTAGTTTCTTTTTAAATTGCCCACTGCATTCTATTCAACATGTTGCTTTCTTCTTTGAATAGCTTGTGCTATAACTGTTTGAATAACAGCTTTGTTTACATGATTCGTTTGAATGTTGGTCTGTTTACGTGTCTAGCAACGAAGGCCAGTGTGATGGTAATTTGTATAATGTTTAAAGTATTTAGTTTGGAATAACTTTTCACTTCTAACCTTCATTTCAAGATACGTCTTGCGCAAAATTCTTGCAGGACGTCATTATGGGGATAGATAAGTATTCATGTATAAGCCGATTGGTGTAATATCGAAGTACAAGCCTCTGCACGCAGTTTCAAGGAAACGATGATTTGATACGATAAGGTTCCGAGAAGTTATCAAGGTGTTGTCACGTTGACTGGTTTATTATCTGCCCCCCTTTGGAGCAAGCACATAACAAACTCCTATAATGTGTCTTAATTGTTGAATTATGTAATTAGTTATGCATGTGGGTTAGAGATTACATGCCTCTGCGGTTCTATTCTTGATAGTTATTTACATGCAGTTTTTATTTTCTTGTCCCATTCCAATTAAGTTGAGATTTTGCTGAAATGTTACTTTGTTCTGATTGTAAATTTCCTACATGTTTGTGCTTTAAATTGATAGGTACTATGTGACTATCGTCCTCAGGTATCCAGTCTGTCACATGCAAATTCTCTATTGTTCAATTGGTCTCAATTAATATTATTAATACTTCAGTGACAGAGAACAATAACCAAGGGTATTGCCGTTTATTACATGTGGCTAAAATTTCTAGAAGTATTTCTTTTTGAAACTTAATAGACTAATTTAAATAAATATTTTCTTAAATAATTCATCAACAGCTTTTAATAGTCCACATCTGGATATATGCCTCTTCTTAGAAAGGAGATTTTGGGTTTTAAGTCTATTAAATAAATGTTCTTAGTGTACATTTATAAAATTAGAAATGTTAGCAATTTCTCAGTGGACTAATGAAAATGTTTTTTTGACAGACGAGGAGTCAGAGACTGTAAACACGAGTACATCGACAGCAGGCGGTAAAGCTAAAACTGGCAGTACCCACATACACCTGTGGCAATTCCTGAAGGAACTTCTAGCGTCCCCTCACGTGCATGGCTCAGCGATACGGTGGTTAGACCGAAGTAAGTAGAAGATGATGATAACTTAGATATTATTACAGCTGACGATATTGTAACTATTGAACTCTATTGTCGCATATATGGTACAGAAATACGATGCACAAATCACGAAATCGTCTGTCATTTATATGTGACAATGGCGTCGAAAAAATACTGTAGGTATAGTTAAGCTTTTTTGTTTTTGAGAGACATTTTATGAACGGTATTCTTAACTTTTTATCCACGAAATTAATGATAAGATAAGGATCGGTAATCGAATATAAAAAAAAAGTTATCATTTATGGTAATGTCCATAATAGCTTAAGATATCTACCCTAAGTATAACATAATAGGGTTTAAACTGTAGTAATATTCAAAATTAGATCTCAAGATAAGGATAACGACAGTCTATTCTGAAACAGTTTTCTTTAACGATTTCGACGAAATCGATTGTTGTCGATTGAAAGAATAATATATTGAGTACCTACTTTCTTATCGAAATTTGTGAATGATTCTGTCATTTCTATTTATATCGTTTACGTTATTATCGTTTGGATTTAAATGTTCTGATAAATCAATTTTATCAATGCGTTGACGCACATTCTATGTTAACGTCAATTTATTTACAAAACTGTTATCTTAAGAATTATTATCTTCTTTTAATCTTATTAGAAAAGTCATAAAGTTTTAAGTAAATCTCCTGGTGGTCAAATTTTGATCATAATTACTTAGCACATTAGGCTGACAGTTAAGTATAATGTTCCTACAACCTAGCACACAGTGGACTTTTATCTGCAACTGAAATCTGTAACTATCTGTACCTAACAAAAAAAAAAAAAGTAAAATAAATAACTAATAATACGTCTTTGAAATGAGTACTCCCTTTTTACTAATTAATATTTTACTAAACATAAATTTATCAATATTTTCTAACACTTTAAACTGTGTGAATGAATAAAAGATTTGCATTTGATACTGCGTAGTTAAATACATTCTTGCATAAATATTTTCTGTCCTTATCTATTAATTAGTAACGAGGTCAAGATTAATTATTAGACAAATTGAGTATATTAATCACCCGACGATAAATATGAAGGATTGTATTGAAGTTAATTAGAGCGTATTCTGCTGTATTTTTTCAGTTCAGATCGCACAGAGGTAATCCCCTACAGTTATGTTTTCACCTCCTCCACCACCATCAGTTGCCTCTCTTTAGGTCGTTAAACTTTATCGTCTCTGATAATTTACGCTTATCTTTTTAAATATTTAATTATTAATACATAATCTCTGTGTTGAAGTACGGAGTGACATGTTTTTATCTCTTTTTGACTGCTGATTTTTAACAAGCGACAATATTTTGTAATTGATATTGATGGTTGGTACACAAATATCTTATCTGATTTTATAAACTTATTTTATTACTCCTCAAACCCACACTCAATGCAAAATGATATCATATCAAAAACACTATCATGTAAAACCTGTTTGAAACAAGTTACCAACTGGATATGGCAAGGCAAAACTAAATTACCCTTTGTTTGAGGTTTGGGGATAAAATCGTTCCCCAAATAAAATTACGTGTTCACGTTTAATACAGACACATACTAACTAATATTATACGATAATCCTTAACTACTTTTTACATTGCGTGAGCTCGGTACTCTGAAGCCTTGAGAATCATAATGGCGTCCTCCAAAAAAGCGCGGGGTTTCTTATTGTCTATGTTGGCGGAGTCGGGTGTTGCCATGTCTCCGCCACAGATGTCAAGACTAATAAATATATCAAGCTAATTGAGACATAATTATCTTTATTTGTTATTGTACTACACATTAACAAACGCATAAATTGGTTGTACTTTAACCATCTAGTATTCTCAATTCTTGGGAAAACAAATAGGAAAATTCTTACTTTCTTATCTGTTCTTTTATTGATTTACTGTAAACTTAAGATAAAGGGTTTGATTGGTAGACTCTGTATTAGGTGCTGTTTTCTTTGCATTTAAGTAAGATTCTAAGTGTAGTTGATAATGGGTTTATGTTAGTAAATCTGTCCTATAGCGTTCCTAGAGGCTATTTATCCCTTTAGGCATAATTTGTTAAAAATATCACAATAACAATAGGACGCATAATAGCTCAGATTTAGTAATTAAATTGTTCATGTGTTTTTATGTTTGTTGTAACAAAACCAATAAGCATCAAGTTGAGGAATGAATTAAAACAATCCTAAGATAATATAAATATGTCTTATCATATCTTACTATGAAAATTTTCTTATCCTAGGAATGTAATGCAATCTGTGTTAATGACTATCCTTGATCTAATAACGCTAACATTGAAACATTAATTATTGAACTTTAGACAACAACATATAAAGTGAGAAATCAAATACGCTTTTCTAAATGCATAAAGAGAATCGTTTTTGCCTTTCTTAAGTCTATTGATGCAAAAAATCTAGCTGAACATAGTTTCGTTGTGCATCTAAAAGTCTTACTGAAACATCAGTTAGTATTCTATGCACATCATCGTAAGATCGTGACCTAACCACTAGAACGCACACATTGTGACTATAAAGAATTAAAACGTGTTTTGACTAAAAGCTATTAGTAAATTACTAATACTAATGTGTAAAATGTAGTCACACAAAAACAGAAATATGTCTATACGAATCTAACAGCAGTTTTAAATAAAACCGTAAACATAAAGTATTATTGAAAAATAGGTCTGAGCGACATTCCGTAATCCGACAAGCCCAAGGTGATCGAGCCATTTACCATCAGTACTATAAAATGGTTAAGTAAAGGTTATATGGTTCGTGACTTGATATAGGAACCGCGTTATTACGATTTATATCATTAGGTTTTTGTTATTTGGATCACGAATGTATTCGTACAAGTTTGCATAATACTAACACGATTTCTGGGAGCAGAAGAACTAGCTGGAGAATGAATTTCCAATATTTGTCCATAACAATATCTTCTTCATACTTGAGATATTAACTTTCACAATCAAAATAAAATTGCAATGATATCTAAAATGAAAACCTGTATGTGTATGACCGTTTTTATGGCGGCTTTCTGCTCTCTGAATTCCTTTCACTCGTTTATTTTTAACATAAACAACCCAACAGTTTTCTCCAAAAAAAAAACTATATTGTTTTTAGTTTAACTCATAATGGGGTTCTTTACCCAGAAGGACTCTAAAAAATAGAATTTATGCCTGTTTAAATCGATTCACGAACATATCACGCGACCATCGAAAGACAACGGTCACATAAAATTAAAATGTGCTGCATGCTGCCTCATGGTGGCAAATTTTGTGCAAAACATCACTTTATATTATGAAACAGTTTCAAACATAAGAATATCGCCCACTTAACGATAGTTTAAGACATTTATGCTACACGTGCCAATCGTGAAAACGCAATGACCTCAAATAAAATAATATATATTATTCATCTAATGTCTCTCAAAAAAACTTGTAAGTCCACTCAAATGCAAATGGTTAATTCAAGGCATGCTCCACAGGTAGCGGTGTATTCAAGATTGAGGATTCAGTGCGTGTCGCAAGGCTTTGGGGCAAGAGGAAAAACAGACCTGCTATGAACTATGATAAACTGTCCAGAAGCATCCGACAGTACTACAAGAAAGGTATTATGAAGAAAACCGAGAGGAGTCAGAGGCTCGTGTACCAGTTCTGTCACCCGTACTGTTTATAAATACTCTAGTTTAGATTATAATTTATGTAAATAATTTATTAATGTTGTATATAAGGGTGTGTGAGAACCGCGGTAATGCGGAAGGTGCGATGACTGGCCGCGTTTTGCGTCGCAATCGCAAATCGCTGCGCAGTCGCCAAGTTTGTAGACAGCCGAATTTTCACCGGCCTCTGTCATCGACGTGTCAGTCGTGAGGTCGGGAAATAATAGGCGTCGTGTACACTATCCCTCCATATAATTCGAGAAAGGTAATTTTCTCTGGAATTCTATTGGACGGGAATAATTTGCTGTGTTATAAGTTAAGTTTTTTTTTACCAGCGATTAGGCGAGTACGATTCGATTTTTCGAGTTTACACAGTATCGTGTTTGTCGAAAGCTGGTAATGTTTATCCCATATATCTATGATATATTTCTAGTACGTTCTATGAACTTTTAGGTAGGTAAGGTTTATGTAAATATTCGAAAATGATGCCCAATATCGTTCGGTGCTCAGAATAGTGATTTAAAAGAGATTATTCTCGTTATAAGTTTTTAAACATTTGGAATATTTTATGAAAAGAAAAGAATAAATAAAAAATGTGTCAACCTAATTTTTATATTAAAAATATTTAAAAATGACGAGTTACGTCAATTATTGCAATAATAGTTATGGTATAAGTTTTAATTGTAATTAAGGCGGTCGAGTTTGAGAAATTTATTTTTGGGTTAAAATGTTTTATAATTTTGTGCCAAATAGACTATTGTAATTTATTCGGGACAAAATTGTATTGTAAATTGTGTATAAATTTGATGTCCCGTCAATGTAAATATATCTTTAGAGATTTAAGTGTTGCGACAGACCATACTTGTTGCAAAATAGCTCGAGTTATTTCAGAACAGTGTGTCGCGGCTCTGAATAGGTATATGCAATAAAACGGTGTTGGGAAATAAAAAAAGCATATTTATAAGTAAATATTGTAAATTTTTTAAGTAAACGCAGTTAGCGTTATAATTGTTAATAATAATTATTATTGGACCAAACTAATTTAGATTTATGAATCAATCTCTGTGACAATAAATAAAATGGCCATTATACTTGTTTTTTTTCTAAATACACATTTAACTTTATGGTGTTTTCACGTTAAGGTAATCGAATCGCTGCTCCTAATTTAACATTCACCAAAATGTCTTAGTATAGTGGAATCAATGTGGAAGTTGTTCAAAGAGCCACATCTATATATAGATGTGGCTCTTGTGAAGTTCAGCACCGATTGTCACGATTTACAAACCACTTCAGTGATAGTATTAATCTATTTTTCGCGTCAATTTTGTCCTTTATTTCTCAACAGTGCAATAACAACGTGCCACTGTAAAGCATGGCAGGGTATAGTTAGTACATTTATACGTACTATATACGTTTAACTACGGTTTGCTAAATCCTAAGACTCGGGGTCACATCACACCAGGTAAAATACGATCGAAGTCCCGGAAGAGTGAAGTCATTCCGGGACTTAGAAGATTCTTAGAAACTAAAAGGCTGAGAGTTGAGTGCACGGATGGCGTAGTGGCTTTAGCGGTTACCACACCGCTTCCTACTACGCTGAGAGTTGTGGGTTCGATCCCCATATGGCACAACGCTTTGTGTGGTCAACAAATTGTCGTTCTGAGTCAGGGTGTTCTTTGTATCCCTTTTATGTATGTTTGTGAAGTCCCCCGTGACACAGGATATATAAATAACAACTTTAATATTAATTAACAATGGGTATATTTGAACATCACAGATCTTATTTTTGTCAGTACATTATTTTATTGAAATAATTACTTTATCCCGAAGGGTTAAAATGCTCAATTTTGCTGACTGTAATTTGAATCCCGTTTACCTACTTAATCTACAACTAGAGAGGGCTACTCTATTGTCGTCCACTTGGAACGAACTCGTTTCCAAACAACAACACTCATAATATATTATGTTTTAAAATTTATGAGTAATATATTTTACAGAGAAAATTATACTAAGACACAACACACATGAACGTGCTCGTCACACTTTGTTGTGTAAGCAACGGGATAAAAACATAATAATAATTTAATCAAAATACTATTTTCCTTTAGACAAATCTGTATTGGGATATTGCACATCAATATTTATAAGCATCTATTCAAAACTGTTGAGGAAAAGCTTGTAGAATTGTGTAAGGAAATGGTAATTGTGCCTTCTTTGTTTATCTTTGAGTAGCACTTAACATAACTAAATATTGCGTGAAATTAAGCCTTTAGAATAAACTATAATACACAAATCTGAAACATGTTGCATCAAGTTGCGCAAAGTTGACGTCACTGCTCGCCAGCCGCCGAATTCCACGAGTGAAAGTGCCTTTCGCCGTCCTTATGGAGGGGAGGACGACCTTAAGAGGGGCGAGAAAGGGGCGAAGGGGGACATTGTGTAAGAATAGCACTTGATGATCAACTTTTGTTATGATCAAAATGTAGGCTATTAGCGAACTACTTACATACATAATATAATAAAGTTGAAAAGATTTTATGGGAAGGTCATAGGCTATGTAACATCAGAGAGAGAGAGCAGAGGAGCAGTGAACTAATGTTCACTGCTCCTCTGCTGTATAATACACAAGTGGAATACACAAGTGGAACCGTGGGTAACATCTAGTAATGAATATTAAAGTATAAATTTATAGCGTCTTAGCTTTTCTTAACTCTTCTTAACTTTCTTTTGCTATGACTTTTTTACTGATCGGATGTCTTGTCCCCGTCCGTAAAACGATATTTTAAGGCGCAGTTATGTTTTGCAAAATTCTGTGACGTATGGGATCTACATGGGACTATCCGCACTGGCGGAACAAAAACATCTGTCATTTTGAACAGAATTTTGCAAGGTGAAATATCGCTGTGCGGACGTGCCCTTAGTCAGACCTCCATTTCTAAGACGCCTCTTAAGCCCGTTTAGACTACACGATGACGCAATGAAACATATGAATAAAGTATGTAGGAGGATCTTAGACAAAATGTCTGAATTGAGAATATTTGGTAGTCTAAATAATGCTAAAAAGTTTTCACACTGGAATGTAAACTTGTTTTATAGATACAGATCAAACCGGTTCATATTCGGTTTAATAGAATATCATAATTAATTATAATAAAATAACAATCATTAATAATAAAAAAATACGTTTACCATATAAAAAATGATATTTTTTCAGTAATAAGAAAAGTTGTATACTGTAATCGAGAGATTATTACTGTAAGTCAGAACCTAGGCTAGGAGAATTAAATCTTTGATGGTTTAGTGGCAAGCAAGGGAATACTTGTCATACAATACCCTACTAATTAATATCCATTACAATGAATAGTTAATTTTACTCTGAATGAAATTGTTTAGTTTAACCTACATACTCGTATGATAATTGCCTTCACAATTAATTAACTTAAGTTTTATAGTGTGTAATAACTGTTTGGTTGCATGAATCAATTAACTACTCGTAGGTATTGGTTTAAACTACCATCGTCATTTTCACTATAGTCTGTTTTTTAATCTCGTAGACTAAATTGACACATGCAAATGTCAAATTTACAAATAATGTTGCCAGCTCGTTTTTGCAGTGTTGTACCTACGATACCGGTTTGTTGAATCGTAACTTTTTATTTATAATAGACGAATTTAATTTTCATTCAAAGTTTTATATTTAAAATTCACGTACGTACACACGGCTGCACGACGTGCTACAAACTGCCAGGGAAATCTGACCACGCAACGCCATGCGTAATCCGACCATGTTTCGATGCCTTTAAATTAAACAAAAAGAAAATTATAGACGCCATCAGTGTTGTTCCCGTACGCGTTAAAACGGCAATCTTAACCCTTTTCTCTTAAGAAACGGCACAACTTAAAAAATACGGCAATTATGGAACTTGACACCATACGAACAACTGCAATTTTTAAAATAATTATGAATTATCATGTTAGTTTTAAAAAGTTAGATTTTGAATACGGCAACCCTAAATTTCACAGGAACAACACTGGACGCCATTTTGTTTACCTTATTCGTCCTTCAACCTCTGAAGTGTTCGAATGCGGCCGTTGTGTCTTGATACAATTTCAAGTGCTATTTGTTATATTTTCGTTGAGTTTGTTTCTGTATGTTTGTTTTTTGTTAAGTTTTGTCGGTTTGTTAAGTTACGTTTGTAAAAAAAAAATAGATTTCAAAAACAAATTGGACGATTTCACTGGGTTAAAAGGGTCTTCAGGCAAGGGGAGACGACTTGTAGTGTCCCATGTTGGAAGCGAAGAGGGTTTCGTGGATGATGGTCTATTAATATTCGAAGCAAAAAGGGGCTAGATGATTACCACAAGGAGATGACTTCTGATATATATACGAAAACTGGTTAAAAAATATTTTTCCGAAATTAAAAAGAAACGCAGTACTTGTAATAGATAATGCTCCATATCACACCAGGAAACTGGAATCGTTACGTACTTCTAGTTGGCGAAAAGGGCAAATCCAAGATTGGCTAAAATCAAAAAATATTTCATATGACGAGACAATGTTAAAGCCCGAATTAAATGAAATTGCCCGAAAGCACAAAAAAGCCCATGAAAGGTGTGTCATCGACGAAATGGCTGCTGAACGGGGTGTCACTATTTTGTGACTGCCCCCTTACCACTGCGAGCTAAACCCGATTGAGTTGGTCTGGGCTCAAGTAAAGGGGCATGTCGCTACAAATAGTAAAACATTCAAAATGAATGAAGTACGAAGCCTTTTTGAAGAAGGGCTTCGTCAAATGACCCCGCAGCAGTGGAAAGACTGTGTAGTCCATGTAATTAAAATTGAAGATCAAATGTGTCATCTGGGCCATATAACCGACGACATTACTGATACGTTTATCATAGAAGTAGGTGGCGATTCTGATGATTCAGCATATTCCTCAGACATGGAGTCATTATCTGAATCAGATTAACGCGAATACCTGTAATTAAGTTATGTAATTAAAAATATATGTTTTAC